TGGGATAAGCTCACTTGGCCCTTCGGGCCAGGTGAGCTAAAAACGCCAATAAAAACTTTAGGGTTAGGCACAAAAATCTATGGTAGGTAGGGTTAGCGGAAACAACATTTTATTTTTACCTAAGCAGTGAAATCCTGTGCTATCGTGCATTTTCTATTATTTATAATGTATAAGAATAATGATAATATGATTAATATATATACAATTATCGACTTGGATAATCTAATTTAATTCTGTAACAATGTAAAACCGAAATAAGGGGAAATAACTCCTGTTCATTTTTAGTAGGATTATGTCCTTCAGGCTGAAAAATATATGCACATAGACAGAGAAATAAAACCAAATGTATTTTGGGGCATTTTAAGACGTGTAACAAGTAATGCAACTTAAATTATTTTAATGGTTTTACTAGAAACCTGACAAAACTGCAACTACAACTTCTTGCCATTCAGTCTGTGGTCCATGATGCAAATAACTTAGGGCCTTCTAACAGGAACCTGCACTATCAAATGTATACGTAATTTTGAATATTTTATAAGAACATTTCAGGTATGTGCATGCACCCTGCCTACTCAAACGAACAGGATTGATGTTTGCAACCAGGAAGAAAATAAATGTATTGCTGCGCCATTATTTGCTGGGTTTGTATCTTCCAAATGTTTTTGAAAAAAACATATGAATTTATTATCAGGTTATGATTAGAGTATACCTTAACCACAGGTAGTAGCCTCGTCAATACACCTATAATATATGATGTGTATTGACAGGCGCTTTTTAACGGGAGCATTTCGAGAAATGGGAAATTGTCACGGTGATCCGTACTTTGGCGTTTGTCGAATATTTCCAGTAAAAATGTATAAAAATTGATGTGTTTTCGCACATTATAAATGTCCTACACAAACACATAGTGCATGTTACCACGGATCTTAGTCCTTGATGTTACCAAATTGTATCAAAAATAAACTCACCAACTTGCATTATCTACGCTCATAACATTTTGTTGTCCATAGGCCACTGTAGACGGTCGTGATGTATGACGTCACTGTACAGGTGTTAGTTTAAAAATAGTATCAGTGGAATTTCCGATACGTTGTAGCGTGTACTTCACAAGCCCGTTAGAGTTTACCAAAAATCTGTAACGAATTGCATCAATATATGATTAACGTTTAGCATGGTAAAGTATAAGCACCAAATTATCAAGAAACAAGCAAATTCGTGGAATTTATATCCCCCGCTTGCAGGACATATGGTAGGTGTGGTGAATTTTGGGTAGAGTTATCTCCCTTAGACCGATAACCACGCCGACAACCTGGATGTGACATCTCGGCGCGGTCGACAACCTGGATGTGACATCTCGGCGCGGTCTCTTGCATCTTGACATTGAACACTTGATTTCAGGAGCTGAGAGCAGTTCCAACTACTTGCTGTGACGGTGTGAACTAACACACACCGAATTCAAACAATTGGTGTCATAAGTGCGATACAACTCGCGCTATTCGCCCTATTACAAATTTTGTCATTTTTTTTTCAGATATCTATTTTACCTTGCTGGTCCCCTCTCGCTCGCCACGTGCGCTGGCCATTGTGACCAGTGCGCGAATTACGAGTGAGAGAATTTGGGACAGTTCTACTAGTTTATTATTGTTTATTTAATTATTTATTCGGGGTAATTCAGAGTCGGCGGTGTTCAATGCCGTTCTAATATTTATATTTAATTTAACTTACGTTATTTGTTACTTTGTACGAACTCCATTCGCCTGTATACTGGGCCGCCCATATTGGCGGAATACGTATGACAGGCGAGACTTGAGTATCGTTAGAATTAGGAATATTATTTTTATATTGTAGGGAAATTATTATATATTTAGTTAGGTTAATATTACATAAGGTTAGAAATTAGTTATTTTAGTAATTAGAAATTATTTTGTAAACTGTAAATCGTAATTGTAATCGTTTGAATTTTGTACGGGACAGATACACGTGTCTACTTGTAGTAACGTTAGTATACTGTCATTGTGCATAATTTTGTAATTCTTTAATTAAGTGTGTTGACTTATTTCTTTGTTGGACCTTTTTGATATTTTGTCATGGCTGCCATAAATGTACGCTCAGCCACAGAAGTTGAGCTGTGCACGTTGGAGGGTTTAGGCCCTACAACGGCAAAAAAATCATTGAGATGAGAGATGAGGGCGACCTCACCCTACAAAATCTTGTCTCAAGCTCTAGAGTTGGCATGGAAAAATGGCAGCAATGGCTATGTGATGGTGTCGTCACGGGTATAAGGGTCACTGCTCCTGTGGAGGCGCATTCACCAACCCAGTCGACCTCATCACAGGTATAAGGGTCACGTCTCCTGTGGAGGCGCATTCACCAACCCAGTCGACCTCATCACAGGCAGAAAGGCTCAATAGGCAGGAGGACGAATGTATGGACATGAAGCATCAATTTAAAGAGCTACAGGTCCAGTTTAGGGAATTAATGCTGACATTGGAGACAGAGGCTCTTAAAAAGTCAGAGGGCATGGCGGCTCGAACTGCCTCGCCTCCAAAAAAGACCTCTACTCCTGCCACTATGCTACTGACTACACCTAATGGTGGTCAGTATGTCAGTCAGGGGGCCACAAATAAATAGCTGGTCAATATGTGTGTGTGGGGGGGGGGGGGGGGGGGGGGGGGTGTAGAGGTACAATTGAATCTACCTCCATGCGACCTGAGGGTGAATCATACTCCGACCCTCAGGCATTGCCTCCTTAACAGAAAGAGTCCGGTTTTGAACCTACTTTCCAAGCTAAACCGAAGGATGGGAGGTATGTAAGGGGTCTAGATCTGGGTCCACATGTGTCAACATGGACTACTGGAGGCATCAGTGCACCCATTGCTTCTAAGTGGGGCTTTAAGCTAGAATCTGCCCCAAAAGTTGAAGGAGGAAATGAGTCTGCCCTTGTCATGCCTATCATCGGACAATGAAAAGGAGGCTGAATTCCTGTTGGAAGATGTTAAGCCTAGTTTGACGCTTCACAAGCAGGGATGGGGGAATTATCCTGGGGGATATGACCCTTCACAGCCACTATGGAGGGGGGGGGGGGTAATTTACCCCCAGGTAATAGGCTGCAGTACACCAATGGCGGGATAGGTAACTATCCCCTGTTGGGGTACATGGACATTCAGTTAGGGCAAAATCAGGGTAAAATAGAACAGCATACTACTCCGGCTCATGGTCTGCGTTCAGCCGTTGCTGGTGCTAGCGCGGGGGTGCCCTTAGCAAGCGCAGTAACTCGTGGCGAACCTACAACAGCGTGCTACCCGCGATGATGGAAGAAACAGACGGACTCGCGACAGGTCGGACAACGAACGTCCTGCAAGGCGTACGCATATCATCCCCGGTGAGCGACATGCGCGCCAATCACAAGGAACGCGCCGTGCGCCTACAGACGTAGACGTGATGATTCGTCGGAGAGGACGAATCTGACCCCGAATTCTCCAGTGATGGGGAAGGGAACAGCGATATGGATTCAGGGGACTCCTCCGACGACTACCAGAGGCATCGTCAAAGGAGTAGAAGTCCTCAACGACACAAGTTGAAGAGCGATGGGAGCCATTCGCTCTTAAATTCACCAGAAGTATTAAAGATAACAAATGGTCGGACCGTAGGATCAAAAAACGGTTTTTCGATTGTCTGGTGGGTGATGCGTTGGAGTACGCCGATACACTCCCGCGCACTCTTGGGTTCGCAAAACTAAAGAAAAAGATGAAGGAACGGTTTAGCGAAAAGGACGTCCCAGTGGTGGCCTGCATAGAGCTAAACTTAACTAAGCAAGAGGAGAATGAAAGTTTAGCGGAGTTTGCTCAGCGTATTCAGACCATAACTGGAGATGCTTTTGCGCATGCAGACACCACAACCAGAAATTAGATCGCTACAGAGGCATTCCTCAAAGGCTGTCGTTAGAAGATGGCGGCGCAGAGAGCCATGGAGAAGAATCCGAAGACGGTTCACAAAGCTCTGAAATACATAAAGGCCTCGGTAGCCAATCAGCGCGCTCTGTTTGGTTCTCGCGCGCTACATTTTCCAAGTTGGCAGGTGAAGTTTGCAGAGGGCACTAAGTTGGGGGTGACAAAGTAGAGGAGGACCCTGTAAAGTTCTCAAAAGATCAACTACAGGAGCTTAAGAAATACCTGGCCCGGCTTAGTGCAGGCGGTGAGTCTGCCCGTCCGTACTCCCCTCCACCTCGGGGCGACTACCGCTCTCCGGAACGCGACCGAGGTTTCCCTCAAAACTATGGGGGGAACCGATCACCGGATTATCGTGACAGGACACCGGGCCTCTATCGCGATAGGGCTCATTACCCTCGTCCGCCACAGGATAACGGGCGTAATAGGTACGACGGTTGACCCCGAGATAGGTTGCCATACGCGGAACAAGGTCCTCCGCGAAACCGTAACTGCTCACCCAGATATCAGGGGGAATCACCTGGCACAGGGTCATCAGGTCGAGGTCAACCTGGCCGGGGTTCCTGGGAAACGGGGAGAGGGAACAACGGTTCCGCCAGTTTGGGTAACGACAGTGGACGGAATACCCAGGCGTACCGTCCAAGGTCTCCATCAGCGTTCCCAAAACCATATAGAGGCACGACAGAGAGGTCAAGGTCTCCATCCCCCACGCCTAGAAAGGATGTCCAACCTTTGAGGGAGGTGAAGCTGGCAGTATCAGATGGCAGTAGCATTACCATACCACTCACATTGAATGGGACTCTGATTCAAGCTGTCGTGGATACAGCAGCCACTATGACGCTGATTTAGTGGGAGCTGTTAGATAAGCTCGAGGGTCCACTAGTGCTTGGGAAGCAAGTGAGGCTCCGGGGTTTTACTGGCAATGTGGAGATAGTGTGGGAAATAAAAGACCTACATATCGGAATAGGGAACACTGAAGTACCTTGGACCGTATGTGAGGCCCCCATCATGGACGACATGTTGTTAGGAGTGGATTTACTGTCGAGGAACAGCTGTGTCATCGACCTAGATGCGGGCGTCCTGTTCATTGGTAACCAGGCAATATCTATAACACCGCGGTTGGAGGAGCAGAGGACATCGCCAACTGTCAAGGTAGTACAAAATGTAACCTAACCACCCAACACTATAGGGCACTGTCCGTTGGACTGGGCTAGACCTAATGGGGTACGTCCAGGATTCAACCCACACAACATCCCGGGGGAGTCATGCTTGCCGGTTTGGTAGTGCCTCCCGGTGCCCAACAATCCATAATGAGAGTGATGAATAACACTGCCAAGTCCGTCATAATGACAGAATGACAGAAAGAACATGTAGAGGTGATATCCCATCTCCACAGAGAAGCCCGCAGCTGTTATACAGCAGACATGGTTCCTGAGAAAGGCCAGGGTACCTATGGGGACAACAGGGTTACCGAGTCAATAGAGGCGATCCATCAACTTCCCAGGGAAGCTACTGTCTATAATGAGATGGATGAAGTTCCCAGAGAGAACTAGAGGCCAGTGATGGTCTCGGCAGAGCCACTAAACAGTCACCCGCGGGAGCTAACTGTGAACGGTTTGAGGAGGACGTGGACAGTATAGTACCACTGACATACAAGGCCCATACTCCTGGTCCTCGCCAAATTAAGCATATACATGTACCACAAACAGTGGGGCTCAAAATTGAAGGAGATGAGGCGGTAACACCAAAATCTGCCTCATTTCCATTTGACGGGGAAGAGGTAACGGAAACTTGTGTTCCCGCCATCATCAAATGTTTCAAACCAAATGTGACGTCATCAGATAACGTCAAGGAAGAAATGGATGACCAGGAGTTACATGCGGTGTTTGGGTTAGCCCAGGGAGGACAACAGAACAAATATGGAAACAAAGTGGGTGTCCTTAAGATCCATTTCGTCAATGATGGTGTAATCGGTGACAATGACCGTTCCTTATCCCGTCTACCGGAACCAAACTGGAAAAAGATACTTAAAATACATGTCGAAGTCCTTTTATCTACTGAGCCGCTGGTAGTTGAATATAT